AATGTAATGAACTTAAAAAGTAATGCAGTCTAACTCTTCAAGAGTTAAGAAGAAACAAGTTTAGAGAAACAGACTCACTTATAGCCACTGAACAATACAAACACAGTGCCAGGATTACAGACTCTATCTGCTAGCTTACCACCTGATTCCACGGGGTTAACAGGATGAGTTGTTTAAAATTAGAATAGAAAGAAAAATAATTCCATTCTATGACGTCTCAGTTCCAGTCCCAAGGGACCTCTTCCATGGTAATAAGGTCTATGGCACTAAAAAGAACTAATGCTTTCAAATGAAAATGTCAACACATAGCCGGAGTGAGATAATTAAACAGCCCACATATTATGTGCCTCATCATTTGAGTACAGCAAATACTCATTTTTAAATGGTCAGTCATGGAAAGAAAGATTCCAGCCTCACCGGAAGCTAAACAATTACCGCAGATTAGAGGTACTGACCTCATGGTCCCTAAGTACACAGTCTTGCAGACTGATAACAAGTAATGCCATGCCAGTGGGTCTCTTTTAACTATACTAAAGTGAAGACAAAAACACTGTACCCATGCAAGGAGCAACAGGTTTCTTTTCACTGTCCCGCAGTATCCCAGCATTCCCACGATGATAAGGAAACAGCAAACAGCAATCATGACCGGATGAACCACAGGAAAGTAAGTCAAGATGACGGCCTCCTCCACTCTGAAAGAAGAAATCACATCCTACTGTAAGTAAGATATAATCCAAATACTCCCAAGATACAATGCAAAACTTAACCGTTATTGAGCGCTTACAAGTTCCATTGTGCCTAGGACTTTACAAAAAGGCATCTCGTGTAATCCTTAGCACAATTCTGAGCAGTATATATTACAACCTCCATTCAGAGATGAGAACAAGTAATTTGTCCCTTGTGATGTTAAGGGATCAACCCCTGAAATTTAAGAAGAAAATGGCTTTGTGAAGTTTGGCTTTCACTAGCCAAGGAAAACAAAGGTAAAGGGAAGCTGACTGAGGTTTTCTTAGGGAAATAGAGCTAGGCTGCTCTTTATACACAAAAATGACATGACTGCGACACAGCTAGGAGGGTAAGCAGCTCTGTTACCATACCCAGAAATGTCCATCTGAACACGCGGCCACCTGATCCCCTCAAGAGTGGGAGTGGGCCTCGAAGACAATGCTGGAAAATGAAAGTGTCTGCCCCAGACTGCAGGGGGCAGGAAACACTGCTCCCGGGGTCACAGAGGAGCACCGCCCCCTAAACAGCTAGGGACGGAGCTCTCTGAAATCAAGGATCTCAGAAAACCTAGTGAAAGAATTCTATCGCAATCACAGAGCGTACCTTGTTTCAGCCGTTAAAGTCAGAACATTGTTCAGGTAATCCCTCATCCAGGCAGAGACAGCCAACACGCTGATGGACATTAACTGTGGAGAAAGCACAGGCACACCGAGTGCTCACCAAGGGTTTCTGTGACACATGCTCTAAGATTCACAGACTTTTTTAAAATAAAGATTTTTCTACCTAATCTTTATAGTTTTTTCCATAATTTTATTGATAAAATTGATAAAATGAGGCAGTTTCAAATCAAATTGGTAGGACACTTTCAATAATTAAGACATTGCATATATTCCTCCCAGTGGTTAATTGTCTGTACAACATGCAGAAATGATATCCTATCTACAAACTATAGTGTTTTTTTTATTGTTATTTGCTACCTATTGAAATGTATAATCACTACTATACTTCAATTCATTTAGTAACTATTCCATAGCCATTAGATAGGATGCCACCAAACAGAATACAGAAACTAAACTATTAAATGACAATTTCAGGGCACAGGCCAGAAAGCACCTAAAATGAAGAAACTACAAAACAACTACATTATCAAATATATAAGATGAGTCTACAGCACACTGTCATGCTTAAAAGCAAGGCAATGATTGAACACTATTACTATTAAATACTATTAAATGTTGTAAAAAAGGTGTCAGGAGCAAACTTAAAAGGCCTTCTATTGTCTAAAATTTAAACACTGTCAACAGTAAAATAATAATAACATATACAATGATTTAAAATATATGTCCTAAAATCCATAAACGCAAAATTATTCAAACTCACTGGTCACCTGTATAGGATGTTGATATCCAACTCAGTATTCAGACAACTGATAGGAATCCTCATTTATATTTATCCTACTTTTCCTGTACAAGCTAAATGGAAAGCCAATGATCGAGTAAAAGTTTTAATAGAAGAGTTTTTGAAATTACTTTGCCACACTACCATTTACTAAACTCTTCTAAAATAATGGATCTCTAGGAAGAGTTCTGCAGTCACTACCAAATTTATCAGGCCTGGGATTCTCAGTACTGTCTGTATGCTGGAATCACCTGAGATTCAAAACATTACCAAGCCAAGGCCCACCACAGGCCAGTTGTTGCATGGGACTTGCTCATCAGAAGTGTGTAAGAACTCCCCGGATGCTCTAGGGTGCAGGCAGAGCTGACAACCACTACAGCAGGCTGGCTGATGATACCAGACCCATGGCCTCTTACTTTATACATGATGCAATGTGTCTTCCAAAATGATGGAATAACTAACAAGCAGTTTTACCAAAAACATCAAACCAGAACCTTATTAAGCCTCCAGGTCTATCAGTTTATGCAAAATACAGGGCACAGATTTAAAACTTGTTAAATGCCACCACAGGAATGCAATCAGTAAAACTGAAAACATGAGATTATTTCACAAGAAAAATTACATGGTTTCTTCAATTTGCAAAAAATTGGTAAATAGACGGCTGGCCGAATAGCTCAGTAGATTTAAAGCACCTGCAAGCAGGCACAGGGGCCAGGGGTTCAATCCTTGGGCCTGCAGTGCCAGCCCCACCCCTGGGGCACACTGAGGCGACAATTGAGACTGGTGTGATGACGCGTGCCTGTAATCCCAGCTTTTGGGAGGCTGTAAATAGGTGGATCACTACGAGTCTAAGAGATTTTCTAGTATATGCTGACCTGGTTTGAATCCTGATTCAATGAAATCAATTGCAAAGAAGCATTTTATGTGGCAACTACGAGAATTTTAATAATGATGTCATGACGCAAAATATAAAGAAATGATCTTTATTACTCTAAGTGTAAAAAATGGATTAAGTTTATTTGTAGGGTTGAAATATATGTCTATGTACAGGACAAGAAGCACTGAGCCTTCAGTTACCACGAAGTATGCCATACAAATATGTAGACCGAGGTGGGCCAGAATGCTAGAGACTGTTCTTTTCAAAAAAGAAACATGTACAGTGTGTAGACTGGTCCTATGCGATTTGTGCAACAGGTTTTGCTCAGTTCTAAATGTGAGAGACAAGGTCTTACCCGGGAGCTCCACAGCCTAGCAACCTGGGTTCTGAATCCCGACTCTGCCGCTGGGGTCTGCAAGCCTCTCCCCAGGTCACTTATCTGTGTTTCGTGGCACTTTTTACAGTTTTTTCATTGCTTTGTGTGTCTGTTTATTGCTGCTGTCCTCCCAGAGACTGCCAAGAGGTCAGGATCTCCTTTGCCCTATTCTTTGTAAATCTCTGAATCTAGCCCCACACAAAGAAGAAAGATAGTAGATGCCAGGCAAATATTTACAAACAAACAACAACAGTGAACTAAATAGCTGGTTCTCCAAGCAGATAGGCTTTGTTCACTGCTCAAGAGGACACCAAGCCCTCTTGAGAGCTGTTATCTAGAAAGCCTGTTTTGTGACTGCTGTTTGTGTCAAGCAAGTCTCAGTCTGTCTTGCACACTCATTATATCAGCATTTAAGGCTAAGTCTCTGGTACAATGGTAATGGAGGTTCACTGAAACGCTAGAAATTCTAACAAATCAGATTGCGTTGAGCTTTACCACCCTGTGCTCAAGAAGATAAATGTAAGGCATATTTCAGAAAGATTTCTGTCAAAATAGAAAAGACCTTGAGAACTTAGGAGTTAACATGCAGGTTTTCAAAAGTTTCCCTTGAGAACATATTTTCAACGTGATTTAGATAGTTTTCAAAAATTTATTGAGGGCTGAAGAGATAGCTCAACGGTCTAAGCTTCTGCCTGGCAAGCCAAGGACCTGGGTTTGATCCCAGGTACTGCACACCATGCTAGCCCCTGAACACAGCTCAGAGTGCACCGTGCCAGCTCCCAAACCAGGCACAGAGGTGCACACCTATAATCCTGGCTCTGGGGAGGCTGAGACAGGAGGATCACAGCATGTCTGAGCTGCGTAGTGAGACCCTGTATCAAATAAATAAATAATTTTTTTAAAAACTAGTGAGTTGTGAAATTTTTAAACATATACCAAAGTAAAAAGCAAAGTATAATTAACCTTTACTTACTCATTATTCAGTGTCAACAATTATCAATATACCTCATCCAGTCTTTACCCAGACTTGATATAGCAGGATGGCTTACTACACGACATCTCAGGCATCCTTGTATTTTACTTACACTTCAGACTCAAGTTGTTCCCAGTCTTTCTCTCACTATTGATTTACCATCCACTTTTCAGGGAACAGCTAAAAAATGTACTATTTTATCTGCTTTGCATTTTTCCAAATATGCTTGCTGTTGTTTCATTTGTAGTTTTTCTTTTTGTAGGCTGACATCTATTGAAATTCTCTTCCTTGTTTTAATGTAGTTTTATTTTTTTTTTCAGAACTGGGAATTGAACTCATGTCCTTGCACTTGCCAGCCAAGCGCTTATTCTACTGAGCCATCTCCCCGGCCCCTTAATGTAGTTTTAAAAAGGGAACACACACGTGTTCCTTACGCTGAAATTCTAGGGTACCAGGGTCATTACTTCCTTGGTAAGCCAATGCATTTTATTTTGTGTATTTAAATACAATTATTCAAAACTGAGTTCACAGCATGCATAAGACCTAAAACAAGTTTAGGAAGCCTAGAACCACAGTCTACAGGAGAATCAGGATGGTCATTATTGTCTTCACTTCTTTCAGAAATGAAAAACAGATTGCAAATCAACGAAGCTACCAAGTGGATTGGCCACAGCTTCTGCAAATTTGATGCTCTTACATTTGATGCCAGACACACCTTCTTTCAGGGACCCTGACAATATGCTCCCACCACCTTGTCTAGACCCCACTCCTCCCTCATCTCCCACCTTGTTCTTGGAGAAGCTTTCCTCCAAGGGCTCCACTGCTCAATAACAAAGCAACCAATTCAGAAATCATGCCCCCAAGGACCTGCCTTAACCAACTCTCACACTCAGTCCATGTACACCTGCCCTAATCAGCCCAGTTACTCAAACTAAAACTTCAGGTATAAAAAGTAAAGCCATATTAATATGCTGAGCTGTAAAAGGCTCAAATCAACAACTTCTGACATTGCCAGTCCTACAGATAACCCACTACTATGATGGACTACTGGACTATATTGGATTATTTTGCTGAACTCATGCACCTACAATATTTAAATGGCAATGGAATATCCATCTCTGACAAAACTAAACAAAAAAGGGGATACAAATGAAGGACTAATTTGTATCTGTATATACAAAATAGGATAGATATACACCTACTTTCTCTTAATTCAATGAGAAGATTTGTACTAATAGTGTTTGGACAGGATATCATGTCTGCATCTTGTACTACGAATAACTACTATGAAGGCAATAATATGCAATGTATTAATTATTGAAACTGTCCTACTAATTGGTTTTGAAACTGTCTCATTGCTATTTCTCAATAAAATTAATAATAAAAAAAACCCTAAAGCCTCACCTACTCCTTCCTGTAGAAACCACAATAAAATCGTGGGCCCAAGGGTCCCACCTCTCCTTCTACCTGTGACCAATCCCGCGCATTCTCTGCTCCCCTCCCACAGTGACATAGATATGACTCCTGGAATCTGTTAGCACAGTGAACTGTCTTTTTGATGGCAGCCATCTACTGATCTGTTGCCTTAGTATACCTAGTAATAATAACACATACTAAGCCAAGTATAGTGGCATTTGCTTGTAATCCCAGCACTGAGAGGCTGAGACAGGAGGAGCCCTGCAAGTTTGAGAACAGCCTACACTACATAATGAGTTTAAGGCCAGTTTACATAGCAAGATCCGGTTTCCAAAATATTAATAATAATGACATCTACTAAAAATAAAACCTACTAAAACAAAAATGGCCAGCAGAGGATCATGAAGCTGTTGATTATATCTGAGACTGTGTATGTCTCTCTAATTTGGTAATTTGGGTTTCTAAGTACCTTATAAATGACACATGGAGAGAACAGCCTATTAGCATGTTCTTTTGTTTAATTATCTCAAATTAATTTGCAGTTACATTTAATTCCATTCAAAGTAATAACTGACACTGGCACCTCCATCCCTGAATTTCTTACAGACTGTTTAGTCCATCATCAACGTTATAGCTGTGAGTCAGG